TATGATAATTACTGACCTCAAATGAATGAAAAAGATTGTGGACTCCCGATTTACGGGATAATTCAAACGATTTTAATGTAGTCGATTGGCTCTCAAAGACTGGCCTGTGACATAGCCGCCTCTCCCCGGAAAAAAAATCGGAGAGAGACGTCCTCTCTCTCCGACTTTTTTTCCGGGGAGAGGCGGCTGTGACACGCTTTACGGGATAATTCAAACGATTTTAGTGTAGTCGATCGGCTCTCAACAGTGACTTCCGGTAGAATTGGGCCGCTACCGCTCAGTTAATATTGGGAAGATGTAAACATTCAAAACAGTCGATTTATCTCTCACAGAATGACTTCTTGATCTCCTAACCTTAGTTTGATGTCAAATAAATCCATCTTTCATGACTAAAAGTTGAGTTTGACCAAAAAGAAGTCCGTTGTGCTTACATTTTGACGTAGCATGTCGAAAGATAGTTTCTACGCGGGTAACACTGAAAGCTGGTGTAAAATATCATGACATAACTCCTTATGATTACATGCGTGTCTCAAGATACGAAAGCACCAAACTGAATAGACGCGAATGTGCTCGCATACGACTCTTTGTATTTGTTACATATTGTAAAAGTCAGAGTGTATTGCCACTGAAGACCTTTCGAGACGAAATCCGATAGGGGATCGAGTAATATTGGTTTTCCGTGGACAAAAACCTAGTACCAGAATAATTTTAAGTATATTAAAAACCTTTTTGCATTTTCCAAAATTTAACGTTATAAATAGTAGCCTGAAATTACAGCAAAGACAATTTTCCCATGGAATCTCCAGAAAATAAATTGTAAAAATCCGAGAAATTGTACAACCACAAGTCAAATTTCAACATCAGTTTCATTTCACCAGTACTTTCAAGTGTTTCTTATGAACTTCAAAATTTGTTTTCGACATTTGATGTTGTTAGAAATGATTTCTTTGAAGAGGATAGTTAATACAGTCGCATAGAAGTTTGCAATACGGTGTAAGTAATCTTGGTGCAAAGATTTTGTCCACTTGTTTATAGTCGAACTTCTGGTGGATTCCTTTTTAAAAATATAACGACGATGATTATTTGGAACTTCCCATAATTTAAAAAACTCACAGCATTACAGAATGATCAGTGAGGATTTTTAAAGCCATTCTATAGCATTTCAGTTTTCCCAACGAAAACAAATTATAACAAAAATGATTGTTACAAATACTGAGATTGCCATAACTTGGAGCATGAAAATTAAAGTGACGATGGTCAGTTACGCTATACCATAGCATTTCAGTTTTCCCAGTGTGTGGTAACCTTTGTCACTACCGTTTGTATCCCCAAACCTGAGCTGTTTAACTGGCAGATGTGTCTTGTCAGTAAGGAGACCGCTGTCTTCACGCCATACTTGGTCATTCTTATCACAGTTACAACCATAACTGGGATCTGCACATGAGTTGGTCATCCCGCATGCGCACTTACCACTGCCAGGTGTTGCTCCGCCCCAGTACGTCATCTTACTAGAATCACTTGACACCCACCAGGCAAAAATAGTTCCGCTGTGGGTGAAGAACGAATGATAACACTCGTACTTAATAAACTGCTCACAGTGTGAGGAGACTCTGGTGAGACTCGCCAGTTGAGAGAGACTCGCTCCTGTGTAATGAATATCACGTGAGTAACTACCAGGAGATTCAAAACCCTGCACCTGCGTTCTGCTCTCACTGTCGTGACTGATCACTGTCACGCCAACTCCATTTTTATCACTCATGTCGCAGTAAACGGTGAATGGTGCCAGGCCGCCTGAGCTATCTGGATCAATGACGTAATTTCCGCTTACACTGCTGAAGTATTTCCTGATTACAGAACAGGAATCCTTATTTATAAGACCGCACTTAAAGCCATCCCCAATGAAACCACGGTTACACTTGCATGAATATGATCCTCGTTCATTTGTACAACTGGCATGCTGATGACAGTCATTTGTCTTTCTATCGCATTCATTTAGATCTGTTGAACAGACAACATAACTTTAGTTAAGTTAGTCTTAAAATCTAAGATTAACTGAGACATAAGAAACCGCCGGACAAACTGATAGTAGCATTTCTCCTTTCTAAGCACCACACTTTTCTTTTATTATTATTCCTTAAAATTTGGTTGTACATCAAGACAATGTCTCCTTGTTGAACTTTCATGATTTATTTAGGAAGAAGTAGCTCGAGCGTTGTAGTGTACAAGACCCTGCAAAATCGAGGCACATCAGCTGAGCTGACTGGCTATCGCTCTTGGAAGACTTGGGCGAACAGTCTAATTGTTTAAGTAGACGCATTTTTAAATGTGTCTACTTAAACAATTATACCTAAAACTTGTAATACTTTTTAAAAAAAGTATTACAAGTATTGCAAGTTTTAAGTAAGCCTTAAAAGCAAAACTGAGCTTAACCGTTAAGAGAATCATGCGCGCCAGTTTATTCGATCAAACTCTATCAGTGATTACACAATATGTCGAATTATTCTCGCATTTTGATTAGTTCTTATGATCTATTGGAAGACAAACGTATAGATGATGTCAGTGACATTTTTTTTTGGTTTCTTTATTATATGAAGCAAATAAATTCCATGTTTGCGTGCGGCTTTTCAGTAATAGATCACAGAAGGCGTCAAGATGTGGTGAGAACATCAGTGTCACACTCGGCTATCCGCCTCGTGTGCCACTCTTTTGTTCTTACCACACTTTGACGTCATCTGTGATCTATCACTGACCAGACGCACGGCACCATGGAATCTGTTGGCTAAATAGACAACAATAAAGAACCAATCGGATCCAAGGATTTTCAGCAGAACACGTTAAGTGTCCACACATTCACTTTTTTTGTACTTCTTTTCCATTTTATTGTATGTAAAGTTGAACCGCCAGTTCGAACTCGCTTATTTCGAATTCCCCGTTATTTCGAACTCGAAACCATTTGCCTTGGATTTGCCCTTCAGTCATTTACTATCGGTTTTTTCGAACTCTCGCTATTTCGAACTATTTTTCATTACCCCTTTGAAATAGCGGGGGTTCAACTGTATATTTAAATTTTAAATATAGGTTAACTTTTGTTGT